GTTTATGAGCTCAAATTTCAGTTTTTAAACCCAAAGTTTAGTTTATAAGTTTAAAATTTACTTTGAAGCCTAAAATTTATTTATAAGCTCATAATTTTTTAGGCTTAACTTTGAGACTCAACTATGTTTTTCCGAACCTAAAAAGCACTTTCCACCTCTTTCGCTTCTCCTCCAAACCACTAATTACAATTCCTGCCTTTTTATAGTGTAGTTATGTAGTTACACGAGTGTAACATATACTTTGTGATGTTGTTTCGCAGTATCAGCTCGTGTCTGCTACAATCCGACGTGCTCGCTTGTTCTGTTCTCTTTCCCTTTCTCTCCGCCCACAGTTAGGGCCAGCCGGTTGCTAATTCGCAAAATTTTTCGATTATCTCGTTTTGGCTGTGAATTTTGATAAGGCATGGGTCAGGGGTTCTTCAGTCTTATAAGGGCATGGGTTTTTGGAAGGCATGGGTTTCTCGGTCTTATGAGGGCATGGGGTTCTGGAAGGCATGGGTTTCTCGGTCTTATAAGGGCATGGGCTCATAGGGCTTATAAGGGTATGAGCTTTAGAAGATATGGGTTTTTAGAAGGCATGGGTTTTCTATTATAAATTAGGGTATGTTTTTATTAAGAATTTTAAGAATTGGGTGGCAAAGCAAAAAATGGCAAGAGCTTTCTTTACAAAGCAAAAAATGCAAGAACTTTCTTTACAAAACAAAAATGGCAAGAACTTTCTTTACGAAACAAAAAATGGCAAGAACTTTTTTTACAAACTGACAAAACGACATAGCACTGGTAGGACCTATAATAACAATTTATCAGCAGGATAGGTACTATAAATTCTTGCACTCCCAATCAGTACTATAAATATTTATGTGTCAGTACTCTTCAATACCATAACTCCGTATTAATTCTCAAAAACCCGCCTTTTCTTAATTGGGTGTACTTGGTAATTGCACCGTGAATGTATTAATTTATGTTGTGTTTGAGTGCGTGTTAGTGCGCGTACTAACGGAAAAGGGCATTTTCTTACTAAACACCTTTTCGTAGTCGAAACGAACACGACTTTTCGATTTATGGTTTTGCTTTTGGTTTTTTATTAGTGATTTGGGAAATTAAATGTTTTCGTGGTGGGACCCATTTTTTTTAAACGACTAGGTGGGGTGTTTTTTTGGAGGGTTACAGTAGGGCAAGGCTTGGTAGGGTAGAGTAAGGCAGGGTAGGGTAGAGTGGGGTAGGGTATCTTAGAATAAGGTAGTAGGGTGGGATAGACTAGACTACATATTAGGGTATGCTTGGCTAGATTTTTTTGAAAAAAAAACTTTTAAAGAAGGGGGGGGAATAACTCCCTAATCACTCCCCCCCCCCCCCTCTCTTCCTTCCTAAGCTATCTTAACCCCCCCCCCGCCCCTACTAAAAAACCTTAAAAAATCAAAAACTAATAACCTTTTCAAATGTCCTAAGGCCATTAAAACCCGATGCCGTTGAACTTTTTAAAAAAACTTTTTGTGAAATCAGCACAAAATTCGAAGATTTAACCATGTAATCGGTCATAAGCAGCTTATAAATTAGTTTAACAGTCATTCAAAGGAACGGAAATTGGTTTATTAATCTTGTTCATCCGTCGGATTAGAGGCGGGTGCTGTTTGTGACTTGTACCTGCTAATTAAATGTAAAGTAATATGATTTTGAAGCCCTTTTTCGAACTTCAATTATGTTATTTGTGTTACGAAGAAGTGGGATTCTGAATACTTGGAAATTGTCGTTGTCTCAAGTTTTTTCTTGTTTTTTGGCGTCGGAAAGAAAGTTACTGCGGTTTTTGATTCGTAAAGAAAGTGTTTGCCATTTTTTCTCCTGTAAAGAAAGTTCTTGCTCTTTTCATTTTGTAAAGAAAATTCCTGCTATTTTATGCCTTGTAAAGAAATTTCTTGCTATTTTTCGTTTTGTGAAGAATGTTCTTACCATTTTTTACCTAAAAAGCTAAAAAAAACCTGGTGCAGCTTGCAAGCGACAAGTTATACGATAAACACAATCTTTTGCATTGTAAAGAAAGTTCTTGCAATTTTTTGTTATGTAAAGAAAGTTCTTGCCATTTCTTGTTCTGAAAAGAAAGTTTTTGCCATTTTTTGTTCTGTAAATAATATTCTTACAATTTTTTATTTTGTAAAGAAAGTTCTTGCAATTTCACATTTTTTAAAGAAAGTTTGCAATTTCTCATTTTGTAAAGAAAGTTTTTGCCATTTATTGTTTTGTAAAGAAAGTTCTTGCGAACAAACCACGAAACCCCCCAAAAGTCAGTCTTGACGTCGTTCCTGCACGTGTACCATTAGATATTAACATACGCAATAATCCGCCTCGATTACACAATGTTTTTTCTTGAGATTTATGACGTGATTTCGCAAAATTTAATTTAATTTTGTTGTAAATTTTGTAACGGGAAATGGGGGTGAAATGAGGTTTTTTCGAAACAAGCTGTAATATTATAGTTGGCAAAGAGCTCGGCGGATTATCAATATTCAAAAGTTTTCGAAAAATTTATGGCTTGGGGCTGTTTTTAAGGGTATTGGGGATAGGGGTGGTCATGGTGTAATAGAAGAGGGTAGGACTGAGCATTGTTGTTTGACAGGGTATGGTAAACCTGAGCATGGCAATATAAGGTGAGGGTAGATTAGGGTAAGGCAGGATAAATGCAAGAAAAATTTTAGGGCTAGGTATGGTTTAAAAGACGGTGGTAGTGATGGGCATGGTTTCGCTGAGGATGATAGAGATGGGTTAGGAACGTAACGCAGGGTAGGTTAAGGTAGGCCGAGAATAGAGCATAGTAGACTAGGGTAAGACGGCGCAGAGGAAATAAATGGTAGGGCAGGGCAAGGCATGGCTTTTTAAGCTTTGGTAGGGCAGCGAAGAGCAGGGTAGGGTAGGATGGGTAGGGTAGGGTAGGGTAGGGTAGGGTATGTAAAAATGAAGCAAGCCCCCGCACTCGCAGTAATTTGTTAACATTGAGTTCAGTACAAAAACGCCTATAACCCCATATATGGTTTAACGCTGACCCCAAAATTACACTTGTACCTTTCTTATCATCCTCGTTACACTCTCCTTTACAGCGCATTCTCCCACTTTTACCTTATCTTAATGTTGGCGGATCTTATCAGAACATGTTTTCCGCTTCATCTCTTGTGTTTGAATCTGAGTAAAATCAATAAAATTCGGGTTTTAATTTCGTTTGTCTTACAATTTTTGCTTTTTCAATGTTTTATGGCCTAGGGGTGATTAAAAACGTCTTGTCGCTTTTTACATTGCAAATCAATGAAAAATGACGACAAAACTTTTTTTGACAAGCTTAAAATGGCACTTTTTTTACCAAAAGTTGCAGAAAAAATTAATTTTCTTTGCTTGTATTATCTAAAAATTGTGTTTGCCTAGAGGGTACTATTGAAAAAAATCGCATTTGTTAACTCGTACTATCTAAAAATCGCTTTCTCTTGGTCGAATTCACCCAAAAATGGCTTTTCTTTATCAAAATTGATCAAAAATGATTTTTTTTAACCAGTACAATCCAGAAATTGCCTTTTTTAAGCCAGTACTACCTAAAACTTCCCTTTTCTTCGCCAGTATTATCTTAAAATTGTCTTTTCTTTACCATTAGTACTCCAAAAATTGCCTTTTCTTAACGAGCAGTGTCAAAAAAATGATTTGTCTTTATCAGTAGTATCCAAAAATTTCCTTTGCTTAGCCAGTATTATCTAAAAATTGTCTTTTCTTTACCATTCGTACTCAAAAATTGCTTTTTCTTAACAAGTACTATGTAAAAATGGCTTATCTTAACCAAAATTGAACAAAAAATGACTTTTCTATGCCAAGTTTACCTTCAAAAATGGCTGTTTTTTACCAAAATTCCGATGTTCTTGACCAGTATTATCCAAAAATTTGCCATTTCTTAACCAGTATTCCCCAAAAAATGCATTTTTTCAATTTTCCAGGACATAAACATTGGATGCTATTATACTGTTTCCATGTTTTCCAGCCATTTTCCCTTTCGTTTTCCAGAGAAAAAAAAATTCTCAGTGGAGAAGGGGCTCGTGAAAACGTTGGTTGTGCACGCCAGCGGCTCTCTTCTTTACTATTTCTTTTTCCACTCCCATGCTATTTCGTGCTTTTCTCTTTTTCTCTACCCTTTTTTCGTTTTTCTTCTATTTCGCTGTGTTCTTTTTGTCTTTAGGGCCTTTTACTTTTTGTTTTAGGGGGTTTCTTTGCTTCTATTGCTTGTTATATTGTTCTCTTTGGTCTTTCACTTGCTTTTGTCATCTTTTTATTGTTTTTTTGGTTAGCTATTGAGCTGGCTGTCTTTGAAGAGCATAGTCTTTGGTTTCGTTTCACTGTCTTTGAAACGTGTGGTCTTTATTTTGTCTAACTGTCTAGCCAAAGCTGTTTTTTGAAAGAGTGAAAATTGGGGTTTTGGCTGGAAACTTTTGAAAAAAATTTAAAATTAGGCATTATTAAAAAATTTTTTGTACTTGGACATTAGGAATGGTAATAGTAGTACTAGAAGGTCATTTTAAAATACAAAAATAAAAAAAAATTTTTATTTAAAAATTTGAAAAAATCGATTTTTTTGGAATCTGAAATTTTTGAAAATCTTTTTTCACCCCCCGCCTCCACCCTAAAAAATAAAATATTTTTACCCTGCCCTATATTTTTGATTTTTTTAATACTACCCATTCAGTACTACACCAATCCCATACTATTTCCCCCACAGACGGTCATTAAACGCCCCTCCAAACACTATAACATGACATAACGTGAGTGTCTGCTTCCCTACCCCGCCCTCGGGCTGTCTGCCGTCTCTGCGGCCGTGTGGTGGGGCGTCTGCCTCTCCGCCGCCCGAAAATTGGGAATTCTCGTTTCAGGGGCCGCCTGACTGACTTTCGCCCCGTTGGGCTCCGTGGATCAGACCCATGCCCCAGCCATTGATTGGGGCTGTAAAAGGCGGCCCAAAATCGACCAAAGTTTGGTAAATGTTGGGGTGGGTGTGGGGTGGATTGTGGATTAGTTTGGGCTGGTTTTGGTCGATTTTGGTGGGGTTTATTGGGGTGGAAAGGGGAGATTTCACGTGATTTTACGAGCAAAATAGGCAGAGCTACGGTCGTTGTTGATCATTGGAAAGGTTACAGGACTGTAAAGGAGGCATTTAAACCGCGGAATATGTGTTAACTGTAGAAACAGAGTTTATATTGAGTTTTTTTATTTAAAATTTTATTTTAAAAATTTTTTTATGTTTAAAAATTTTTTAAAATCGATTTCTTTTATTTAATTTTTATTGATTTTTTAGTTTGCTAATTTAAATGCATTTCAATTTAAATATGTTTTTTAATGCTTCACCATTTTCTTTGTATTTTATTCAAAAATGATCATGTTTTCGTTGTGAAACCCATTTTTTTCTGAATGTTTTGATATTTTAAATCACGTAAACCTTGTGTACCATTGCTAATATGTTATCACAAATTTCTTTTACTCTTCGTGCTATGATTTACAAAACATTTGATAAACAATTATTATACAAATTTTCGTTGCAGGACCCGCGCTCCTCGCCCAAAACAAAAGGGTCACCGCTTGATCGACCGAATCAAGTAAACAAAAAACGTCAGCTTAAGCCGAAAACTACTGAGCTTAAGCTTAAACCTCTAGGCTTGAGTCTATATTCTTTAGGCTTGAGTCTACCGCTCTTAGGATTAAGTTCTACAGTCTTTAGGCTTAAGTTCTACATAATCTAGGCCTGAATCTACCGTCCCTAGGCTTAAGTTTTAAGTCTCCACCAACTCTCAGCTCAAGTCGCAACACACTTGAGCTCGAGACATCAGGTTGGCTTCTGGTGTGCATACCACTTTCACCACGACTTCCGGTACGAATTCGGCCGGCGCTTCGACGCGCCACCATACCGTAGAGCCCGCCGCCGAACCGGGACCGAACTACACGCCCGTGGAGGACGAACTGAACCAAACGCCCGACCATCTAAAGTTGGACCAAGCCGGTACCAGCGGGATGGAGGACAGTGCATTTGGGGCCGCCCCACTATTGGCCGACCCCAACATAGCCTCGGCTTCTGGAGTCGGTAACTCGAACCTGAGTGCCAACCTGAGCCACAACATTCCGGCTTCCGAGCTAATGGCCGCTGCAGTCTCGAGTACGTACTTGTTGAGCTCCATGTCCCAAGGCATGCCCCTGCCCAACATCCCCGTGATGAACATCCAGCCAACTCGCCTCAACCCACCCTCCGCCCAAGGATCCGCCCTACCCTCACACAGCACCAACCGCACCTTGTCGGACTTTATGATGGCTCAAAGTAGTCTACTACATCCACTGGTCACCCAAGTGCCACAACTCATCAACCCCAACCAGTTCACCATCGTTCCGGAACAGTCCGAGTGTGTTTCGGCCGACCTCTGTGCCGTGCGAATCAACCAGGCCGAGCTGAATCGACTAAACCAAGCTGAATTGACTAGACAAGCCGAGCTGACCAGACTGAATCAACCAAATCAGTCGATGGTCAATCAGCAGTCCAGTCAAGGCATGGCACGACAGCAACATTCCTCAACGCCAGTAGCCGGCCATTCATCGTCATCGTCTGGACTGTCAAGTAGGCACAGGAAGCGGACTCGAGATGAGGGGGGAAGCAGCTCTTCCAAACGAAGCCGCCCCTCAGGGCATCATAACTTTAATGAACAGCCTAGGACCACCAGCGCGGCTAGGGTAAGATTTTTTTTATTTTGAGTAGGTTTAGGCTTGGAAAGACGAAAAATGGGGAAAAAATTGAAAAATACACCCCCAAAAAATTTTAAATTCGAAAATTTTTAAAAAATTCAAAATCCATCCCCAAAAAAAATATTTTTTCAGGCCCTCCAACAACTGACCGCCATCACCGCCAGCATATCTCGTGACCAGAACACCCTGACCGCCTCCCGCTCCCTCTCCAACCCCAACATACCACAACAGTCTACAGTATGCGCGTCATGCCGCCGCGTACCCATGCCCAACGACGAAGCCGGCGGCTCACATCATCAGTGCAATTGCCAAGTGTTCCACACTTGTCAGAACTGTCCCGGCATGATCAACGCCGCCCAGTTCTTCCGCCCCACCCCTCAGGCTGGTCTGAATCAGCCAAACTTGAGTCAGCCGCAGGCTGCGCCCCCAATGATGGTGTATGATCGACCGGGGTCCTCGGCGAATCGACTGGAGCCACAGTTTCAGCCGTGTGTTACGGTGGATCAGAGCGTGATCGGGTTCTTGAATAATCAGTTTGGACATTTGAATTCGACTCAACAGAGATTGCAACGGATCGTGCCGCAGCCTGCGCCCTTGATGTCGCCCTTCTTTAATCGGAATTACATGCAAAATGGTCGAAACAAGTGAGTTTTTGGGAATTTTTGATTTAAAATTTGATTTTTAACCTAAAAATAAAAAATTAAGCTTAAAAAAGTTTTGTCATTTTTTGCCTAACAAATGAATGTAAATTGGCGACAAGACTTTTCTACACTAATACTTTACAAAAAATAGCCTTTTGTTACAAAAATAGCGCTTTGATCATTTGGTTTTTAAAAATTTTGCCATTTCTAAGCCCCCTATAATAAGTTTTGTCATTTCAGTCTTGGCCTAGCCGCCGCGCTGCACCCAGAACAGCTCAACCTCCTCAACCAACGTCAACAACAAGCGGCCGAACGCACCGAACAAATGAACAACTTCTACCGCCAGAACCCTCCACAACGTTTGGTACAGGTCCAAACCCAGACCTCATCGGACGTTCTGCGGAATCAGACGCTACAGAACAACCCGATGATCATCGTGCCGGGCTTCACACCCGCTCACAATGGAATCGAGATGATATCGTTCCTGATGAACGGCCACGAAGGAGCACTATACGTACCACATGCTGAGGTACCAGCCCATGTTGCTCATGCCATGAATCATGAGCCACAGCCGATTGGCGCCACTTCTGAATGCATTAAGCAGTGCACCACGATCAAGAGCTACATCAAGGACTTGGAGGTGCCCGAGTTGGAGAAGGAACGTTGCACGGTGTGCTTGTTGGACTTTGAAACTGGTGATGAGATCCGAGCCTTGGGTTGTAATCATATCTACCATATCGACTGTATCGACCGGTGGCTGCAGTACAACAAGAAGTGCCCGGTATGTCGTGTGGACATGGACAAAGCACCATTGGTCATCGATGACGAGGAGAATGAAATTGGAATCACGGCTTAGAGAGAGGGTATAAGAATTACGTACCAGAACTCCCTACACAAATCCAACCCACACCACCCCCCACAAAGCAATAATACCCCGAAGCCGCCACGCCTACTGTCATTCATCATACTGTAACCGCGTTTTCAGTGCCCATTTTGTTAATTATTGTTGAACATCGTTGCCAAACTTGAACGTCTTACAGTATGATCAATTACAAGCGTGTCAAACTGGATAATAGTCAAAAATGAAGGGGATTTTAGTGGTTTTTCCACTAAAAAAGACTTCAGATTTCAGTTTGACCGGCTTCAAAATTTCAATAAAATGCATTATTTTGAATTTTAAAATTGTTTTAATTCATTGCTTATCAAAGCTTTTGTCTTTTGAACTGGTTCTTTGTAGTTTTTAGTTTGAAGTTTTAAAAAATACAGTATTTTTTCTTAAAACACAGTATCTTTGCTTAAAACTCAAGGTATACTCTAATATTGATTTTTAACATTTATACTGTATTTTAAGCCAAAAATACTGTATTTTAAACTCAATACTGTAAACAACCCCAGAATACCAATTTCAAACTGACTTGTCTAAAATTTTACTATTCTTTATATGATAATATTGTCTTTCAGCCTCACGTTCATGTTATATCATCAACTCTTTAGTATCATACCAAGATATTTACTACAGTACCTTATCCCTCGATACTTGAGATAATATATATAGTAATATAAAAAAAGTATCGTTAGTAACGATTGGTTACTTACTGTATATTACTCAAAAGGTATTGAAGTTTACTTAAAGTATATTATCTTGGCCAACTTTTAGACTTTTCGACCATTTTTTTAGATTTTTAGTTGTAGATTTCTGTAAATTTCCTTGAGATGACATTTCATAACAGTACCGGCGAAATATCAACAAGCTTTTTGTAATTTTAAGTATCTTTTTATAATGTAGAGACTTTTTTCTATATGTAAACATTTTCAAAAAATCGAAAAATTGAACAAATTTCAACTTTTTTTAATTTTTTAAAATTTCAAAAGCTCGTCAATATCTTGCACTCCCAAAATCATTTCCCAATATTGTCATGTCCATCTCCACACCGGTGTTTTATCAAGAATTGTCTTAAAAACAGAAAATCTTTCAAAAAATGCTTGTTGTATCCACCCCCAAACAAACCGGTTTCACAAAAATTTTTTGATTTTTAACCCTTTCCTTAATCATTTTTAATAAAAACTCTCCACCTTCTTCAAGATTCGTACGCTATTTTTCTGGCTTTTCTGATCGTTTTTCGTCTTTTTGCGGGTAGATTTATTAGAAATTCAATGTTTTTGTATGTCATAACTAAGCATCATTTCGATGTGCACACAGTTTTCATTGCTTGTTTAATAAACTTTTAATATATGGAATTGGATTTTTTGACAAATTTACGATTATTACATCTATTTTAATAATAAAAACAAAAGTTATACAGTGGACCTCAATTAAAGCCAATACAAAGCCTAAAATTACCTTCACCATGGTCCCATTACCTATATCAAGAAAAAGAAGTAATATAAAGCAAGACCAAGCTGTAAAACCCCCAAAACATCATTCAGTTTGTCAAGCAGAATCTACTGTACATTATTATAATAAGTTTTACCCCATACGACAAAGTAAAACTGTCAAAAATTTAAAAACCAATAAGTTAACCAGCTCCCAAAACCAAGGTTAAAAAAGATAAAAGCCAAATTTGAACACATCCAAAGCACGTTGGACTGCCAGTAAATTATAAAATATACCCTTTAATAAAAGGCCCTTTTTAACACATTACAAATAAAAATAATTATATTTGTTACCTAAAATAATAAAATTCAGCAAAACAAAACCGACCATCAAAGAAAACTCTAGAAAAACTAATGAACCACACAAGTTTAATAAAAATAATTTAAAAAATACAAAATAAATTTCTAAAATCCATCAACTTTCATCAATAACCATAAAACCTTGAAAAAAAATAAAATAAAAAGAACATTTCATCGTATAAAAGAATTCCACTTTAAACAACGTGCGTCCCGCCACGAAAACCCTGAATAGGCTCCGTGTTATCTTCTTTTCCGTCGGAAAATAATTTTACGATATTTGTTCTTCGAAATTCTTCCTTTCTTTTTGATTTTACAAGTTTTGAAAATAAAATAAAGGTAATTTTAGAAGTTTGTTAATATTGTTTTTAATGTCTTATTAAAATTTTGTTGTTTTATATTGATCTATTTAGGTTTTTGAGATTTTGAGGGTTTGAACTTGGTTTTAGGTAGATTTTTGACTTTGAGGTTAGGTTTTTCTTGAGGTTTTTTAGTTGAATTTATTTGCTTTAGGCTTCTATTGCTTTATGACTTGATGTAATTTTATCTTGTAGTTGTTTTAATGATATAACTATCAATTACTCGCGATTTTTAAAATTTTTTCACTAAAACAATGTTATTTTCCACTTTTCAGGGTCAAAAATGGTGAACCCCAACGGTTACAGACGCGGTACTCGATACATGTTTGCCCGGAGCTTCCGGAAGCACGGTACCGAGCCCCTATCTACCTTCTACCGCACATACAAGCGCGGAGACATCGTAACCATCAAGGGTAATGGTGCTTTCCACAAAGGTATGCCCTACAAGGTGTACCACGGTAAAACTGGCCGTGTCTTCAACGTAACTGCCCATGGTCTTGGAGTTGTTGTCAACAAGCGTGTCCGGTATGTTTTTTATTGTTTTCGTCGGTTTTTAGGCACACTTGAGTTTGCAGGATGTTGTTATAGGTTAATGGAGCTATATTGATGTATATGTTCTTTTGTTGAGTGGCTTCATCAATATTTTACGTGAATATTGATTTAGCTGCTTAGTAAAAATTTAAAATGAGGGAGAATGGATTATCTTTTTAATTAGTAGGCGCAAAATATTATAGTAGATTAATTTTTATAAAATCTGAGGTAATAATATTGAGTATAGCATCATTATAGTTACACCTAGTATTATTTAGCATCTAGATCTCTGTTTTGAAACTAAAATCTAAATAAGTTGTGTAAAATACGGTTGATCGAACCTTGAGTTGATACCGACTGTTTTTAGCAACCGCATCATCCCAAAGAAGATCAACGTCCGTGTCGAGCATGTGAAACCCTCTTCATCTCGTTCCGAATTCTTGGAACGTTGCAAAAAGAACGACCAACAGAAACGTGACGTGAAAGAAGGCAAAGCTGAATGGAGACCACTTAAGAGACAGGTAAGGTTGATATTACTTTATAAACTAGGCTTATTTAGGGATGATTGGATAATTATTTGTTGTTTTTTGTTATGGTATTTATCACATAATTCTTGCAAAATAACAAAATTTATACTGATTAGAACTTTTTTAAGCTTATTTTTCATTAATACCTCCATGTTTTGGCTTTTATATTTTTTCACACCTCTATCTTCGTTCTAAACGTACTGCCTACATTCTTAAACTTATTTTTTTCAGCCCCGTGGCCCTCGTGCTGCTCATCTCATCAAGGTGAACAAATTGAACGCTCCAGAACTTTTGGCTCCAGTCAAATACGAAATTGTTGCGTAAAGCGGTTTTTTTATTATTGTTTTGTTGTTGAATAAAACTATGTTTTATATAATTATAAATTTTTGGAATTATTTTGAGTTAACCGATCTTAAGGTAGCTATTGAACCAAAGTAGAAATCATCATCTAGGAAATGAGTTTCAACTTCGTAATTTTACTTTTTATATGCATTTTACTTTTTTTTTTATGTATATTATTCAAGAAATTAGTCAAAACTTGTTTATTAACAAACAATTTGATTATAACATCAATAGAAATCTATAATTATAAGGCTTATTAACATATAGAAACAATAATACAATTTTAACATTTTACAAACAGTAATCATAACAAAAAGCACCGGTAAGATTAGTAAACTCCGCGTATTATCAGTGATTAGAAACAAAATTATGGCAATCAGTTTAAGTGCTAATTTTTACACACATCAGTAATGCTGATCCCGATGGGTTTGTTGTCCTCGGTGACTAAAATGGGGGTAGATATCACGTCCATGACCTCTTCTTTTGGGTAGTACTTGACCTCGACCATTAGCCTAAGGGGATGTTCGTTAGTTGTTGTGGTTGTTATGTAGGTATAGATGAATCTTTGTTCCTTGAACATTCTTGGAGGTATTTGGGTTTCGTTTCTAAAAAAGTTGATTTTAAAATGGCAATTTTTGAAAATGCCATTGTTTTTCTACTACAATATTTCCTCTAAAACCAAAACCTTCAAAATGAACCTACGCTGGTGGAGACCTCATTCCCTTTCTAGCCATGTCACTTATAGAATGAGTCTGAAGTATGTCCTCCAGAAAGTTAATGTTGGTGATGTTGATACATCCGTATTCCTTTAATTTACTGCTGATTCTTTGCTTCAGTAACGTGTATTGCTTCGAGGTTTGGTTAAACTTTGGCAGAGGGTCTTTCTGCATGCAAAGACAAAAGTTTTCTGGGATTCCGGCTTCTGAGCACTTTCTATTTGTGGGTACTTGTTCTCGGAAGAGGTTGTAGCCTCGGTACTTCGATGCTGAAAAGGAATGTTATTAAGAATTGACTTGACCTGAAAGAAAGCTTACCAGGATCTTCGCTTACTATTAGTTTTTTAAAATAATCCTGAGCCATTAAGATTTTTTTTCGAACTTTGAATTGAAGCTCAAAATTAATTAAACAACCTACTATAATAGGTCGACCAACTAAAATGCTATAATTTCGAGCTTTTTACCTCATAATCTAAACAAAAAACCTCAACTCCTCACCTTCTTTATCCTCCTGACCTGCCAGAGCGATCTCCTTCAGCGTTCTGTAGATGTCATAATTGCTTGTCAGCCGGTTGGCATTAAAATTGAAATTTTTTTCAAATTCCGGATGAGCCTTTTTGAATTCCTCAGGCAAATATAACGAAAATAATGGCGCTCGTTCTTCAATTCTACCTGTATATGTGTGTTGTATACCTCCGATACGATTACCATGGTCTCCCATTATCACTACGGCTGTGTTGTTCATAACGCCTAAGGCGTTGAATGTCTCCAGGATGTCACTGAAAATGGGGGAACGGCATGTTTTGGTATTTTACTCCATTTTATTAACTCAAAATAAAATTTCAAAAAATTTTAAAAAAATTTTTTTACCCACCCCCCAAAAAAATCACCCCTCCCTTAATATAAATCAATAAATATATACTTCTACTAAAAAAAATTTGACCCTCCCGAAAAAGATCACCCTCCCCCCCCTCAAAAAAAAATTACCCCTCCCAGTAAAAAAAAAGGAAAATTGTAATGAATTTTCTACGCTAAAACATACCGAATCTGCTCATCAACAGCCTCCAGCTGATAGGCATGGTCGTGAGTTAAAGTGGTGAAGAAGTTGAACGAAAAGTGACAGTAATCTTTGTAGGCTCGCGAGAACTTTTCAAACAGGTCGAAGTGCTGTGTCATTACTGGCTAAAATGAAAAATTTATCAAAAAGCCTAAAGCACATTTTCATTTTTTATACTAAACCACCAAAAAAAATTTTTACCTTTCCGCCCCCCAAAAAGTTTTTTACCCCGCCCAAAAAAAATTTTTTTTTCGAAAGTACCTATAGACACTTTTAAAAGTCAAAACAGCAACACTTTCTCCACCTCCCTCCTCAACCCCATCCTTCCAAACCATAGCCAACCTACCACGCCATGAACAGTGCATTCTCCCAACTTTGGTTTCACTTGCTGCTTGACATTGAATATTTCGAATGGTCGAAAGTAGTAGTTGGTTGGAGGTTTCGCGAAGCCTTTATGATAATGATAAGCGAACAGGCCACGAGAGGGGTGCATAATGTCGTCGTTGATCATTGTCACACAGTTTCGTTCTGAAATTCTTGAAATTAGTTTTAAATATTTTTAAGTACCACAAAATGAAATTTAAGTACGGTATCATCCTGTAATGTACCTGAAATTACTATATCTTACCCTACCCTACCCTACCTTACCCTACCCTACCCTACCCTACCCTACCCTACCCTACCCTACCCTACCCTACCCTACCCTACCCTACCCTACTCCGTACAGTATCCACTGATTTACCCCTTGACGCATACCGTACCCTACCGCTTACCCTACCCTACACCACACCGTAACCAAAGTCCGTTCTCTACCATATAAAATACGCCCTACACCGTACAGTACCCTTTGACCTACCTTTTGATGTATATAGTACCCCACCCTTTAATAACACTATATACCCTACCCTACACGCAACCGTAACGCAAGCCTCTCCCCTACTCTATAAACCTAAAAAATGCCCTTACTTTTGAACAAATCCCACAAATGTTCGTACTTCTCATGCTGAACTGGTACCTCTGTCTTCTTCAGAACTCCTCGGCCATCTTCGCCGACCTGCGTCTCGGCGGTTAGACCGGCTACAATGGGCAGTAAATTGACTCCAGAGTTGTCGCCAACTTTTGTGTAGCCATTTAAGGTCATGAACCCTAATTGATTCATATAGGACCATGACTTTGGAGCATGTCGGAGGAACTGGTTTCGTGAGGTTGAGTCTAGTACCAGGACTACTAGTGATGGAGCTTTAGGATTCGCTTTGGCTAGGGTGGGCTTATTAGTCTGGAATGAAGTTATTGCGGTTGGAATTGGGTAGGGGTAAGGATAGAGGTAGGGGTAGAGGTAAAACTAGAGGTAAACGTAGAAGTAGAGGTAAAGCTATTGGTAGAGGTATGAGTAGGGGTAGTGGTAAAGCTATGGGTACTTGTAGACGTAAAGCTAAGAAAATGGGTAAAAAAAGTGACAATAGAGGTAAATGCAAAACCAGAGGTGGTAGTCAGGATAAGGGTAGAGGGAGCGGTAAGTATAAAGGTTAGGGTAGAAGTAAAGCTAAAGGTAAGGGTAAAGGTAGAGGTGAAGCTAGGGGTAGGAGTAGAAGTAGCGGTACAGCTAAGGGGGGAAGTAAGGGTAGGACTAAGAGTAGAGGTAGAATTATGGTTAAGGGTAGAGTTAGGGGAAGGAGTAGGGGTAAAGCTAGAGGCAAAGCTACTGGTTGGGGCAGAAATAGAAGTAAAGAAAGGGGTAAAAGTAGAAGCAAAGGTAAAGATGAGAAAATAGGTAAGAGCACCTGTAAGAGCAAGGGTATGGTTAAAGCTGGCGGTAGAAGTAAAGGTATAGTTAAAGTAAGGAGTAAGGGTAAAGGCTAGAGTGGTAGTAGGGGCAGAATCAGAAGCAAGGGTAAGAGTAAGAATAAAAGTAAGGTAGGACATGATAAAGCATGATAAAAACCCACCTCCTGATTAGCGAATCCAGCAAAGCCTCGTTGGTAGATTAAAACTTCAGTTTCAATATTTGTGCCATTTTCCTTCAACTTGTCATAACATCTCACCACAAATTGATCCACATTTATTTTTGTCTTTGAAGTCATTTTTAACTAAAATTTTAAAAATTTACAAAAAAATCATTTTTTTTTACTAAAAACAATAAAATTAACTTACAGTAAGATTCATTGGAATCTCCAGTGCCACTTTTTGATTCGGCCTTAGACCGCCCACTAGTTTTGATACATTACACCTAAAATACGGCTTGATTATAGGTAAAAAATCATCTTTAAAATAAAAAAGAAAATTCAAAAAAATTTTTAAAAAATATATATTTTTTTAAATTACAGTAACCTACATGACATTTTTAAAACTTTTCCGCCTGAAATTTTCGTCGAGATCATTGTGAATAAGTAGGTAGCCGTCTTCGTCAAATGTCGCCAAGTTGGACATGTTCTTTGGACAGAGAATTGGCCTGAAAATAGGATTTTAGGTAAGGGTATAGTAGAGTAGATTAGAAAGGCTATAAATAGAACAGAGAAAGCTATAGGTAAAGTAGAGGGAAAGTAGGATAGAAGAAGGATACGGTTAGGGCCATGAGTAAGGTAGATTAGAGAAAGCTGTAGCGAGGGTAGAGATAAGGGTACAGTAGGGTAGGGTAGGGTACAGTAGGGTAGAGTAGGGTAGGGTAGTAATAAACCAATGCACCTCCTAAAATCCCCAAAACTACTATAACTTACGCCGCCACCGGACTTAGGTGTTGTATATCGAACTCCCATGGTATTAACGATGGGAATCTACACTCATTCTCCAGCAAATTACTGTACTGCGATTTTTCTGTAGTTTTCGGTGTAGATGGTGTAGTAGAGCCTTCTGAAGTCTCATTGACAAACCGTTCGTAATTCTGTTTTGAAAGATTGATGGCTGTCGATATGGATTTAGACACTATTACACTGAAAATGTAAAGGTAAATATAATATAAAGTAACATGCAAAACACAAAATTACTATCGAATACATAGACATTAATAATATAAAATCTCCGGTCAATAAGTAAATAGAAGTATAATCTTATGATGGATCGTATGAATGACCTGGTAAAGCCAATAAGTAAGAGAAACGGTCAAAAAATCTATAGAAAACCAAATCTTTAAAACAATTTTACAAAATTAAATTATGAAGCCGTTCACATAATTCTGAGCCTCTTTTCAAAGCAAATTTGCCGGATTAGAGAAGCGCAGAATTATTTAAACCACCTAATAGAACGGTGTACCCATTGGACTCACCTCTTGTACACAATCATAGACCCGCTTAAACACATCAGAATCAGTAGGAAGGGCTTCTGAAAATAAAAAAAAATTTTTTTAATTAAAAAATTCAAGAAATTTAATAAAAGTTTGCCACAAGCTAAAAAAAATTCAAATGTTTTTAATTTTTAAAATAAAAAATTTGATGTTAACTTACCCATCGTGACGGATATAGTACTCTGAGCCAGTTTCTTTTCATAAACTTCCTGAAAGTTGAACTTTTAATACTGAAAAGCAAAAATTTGAAACATTTTTAATCGACAAATCATAATTTTAAAAAAATTTCAGTTAAATAAAGTAAAAAAGTCATGTCGTTTTTTATCGTTAAATAAAGTAGAAAATAGCGACAAGACTTTTTAAAAGCTTAGAATGATACAATCATAACTTAATCGCTGCGCGTGTAATTGATCTGTCGCAATGGCAAGAACTTTCTTTACAAAACAAAAAATGGCAAGGATTTTCTTTACAAAAAAAATTGCAAGAACTTTCTTTACAAAACATAAAATGGCAAAAACTTTTTTTTCCAAACAAAAAATTGCAAGAACTTTCTTTACAAAGCAAGATTTTAATCCTAGCCTTAGCCTAAACGTTTTTCACTTAAAACTTGTCTAAAATTTCACTTCTTTACCCAAAAAGGTACTAAAACTCAATCTTAACACTTAAAAATAGTAAAAATTCAATTTTGTTACCTAAAAAGACAAAAAAAAAATATAAAAAATCTGACAAATTCAAAATGCGACAGATCAAATACACGCGCAGCGATTAAGTTATGATTGTATAATAGTCTAATAACTTGAAGAAGAAGCTTAATAGTCGGATATCAAAGCAAAGGGATTTAGAAACAACAATATTATGTATGACAACAAAGCGCATAAAATATGATTTATGGAAGCTGTAGTCATATATTCCAGAGATTATCTTCGTTTTTGGACTGGATTTCAAATAAACTTGGCCTTAGCAGGCCTGAAGAACATAAAATGGCAAGAACTTTCTTTACAAAACAAAAAATGGCAAGAACTTTCTTTCCAGCTCTTAAAACGCATCTTTCGTATAACTTGTCACGCCCAGCTTGCAGAACATTTGATTTTTCGTATTTTGTATAAAAATCGCAAGAACTTTCTTTACAAATCATAAAATGGTGCAAAATTTCTTTACAAAACAGAAATGGCAAGAACTTTCTTTAAAAAACGAAAAACAGCAATAACTTTCTTTACAAAGCAAAAAATGACAAGAACTTTCTTTTACGAAACACACTAAGCTCGGCCTTGTTTTATTCCTAAAGCTGGCCAAGCCAGATCAAACAAATTAAGCCTTAGCCTGCCCCTTTACACGTAAAAATAAAAAAAAATTCAAAAAACTTAAAATATCTCCAAAATTTTCAAAATAAAAAAAATTTAAAAAATTATTAAAGATTTTGTTAACTTACAGTATATTCATCTAGGTTAGTGGTGGATTTGTTAATAAAAAAGTCAGACAATTCACAAAAAAAAATAAAAACCGCTTTTGTAAAACACAAAGGACAAAATAAAATTTTCCTTTTTTTTACTTTTTGGATAATAATAATTAAAAATAAAAAAAAATCATATTTTGTTCCATTTTTTAACGTTTTCGTTTTGAATTCTCACCAGTCAGCATCGCCTGGGCGACAAAATTAAAAATGGCAAGAACTTTCTTTACAAAACGTAAAATCGCAAGAACTTTCTTTACAAAATAAAAAGTCGCAAGAACTTTCTTTACAAAACGTAAAATCGCAAGAACTTGCTTTACAAAACAAAAAGTTGCAAGAACTTTTTTTACGAACAAAAAATGGCAAGAACTTTCTTTACAAAACGTAAAATCGCAAGAACTTTCTTTACAAAACAAAAAGTCGCAAGAACTTTCTTTAAAAAACTTAAAATGGCAATAACTCTATATTAAAACTAAATTTTTTAATCTTCCTACAAAGTGTGATCACTATCAGCTCGTAGGAACTATAAGTAATATAACAAAGCCAGATAAAAAGCAAAAAAGTAAACAAACAAGTAATGTTTCCAAAACGTAAATAATAATTTTTTGTAGTTCACAAATTTTTTAAAAGACGATTTAATTCTGTAATTAATACGACTTTCTTTGTCCAGACGTCAATTTTAAATGTATTTACATTAGCATTAGTCTGGCTACCAAATCAAAAATTGTGCTAATATACAATGTCATTTTGAAAAAGCCGTTTTAATTTGGACTTAGCTTCAAAAATAAAATTTTTTTAAATTTTGTCTTAAAGTAGTTACAGTTACCTAAAGACATCTTACCTTTGCCTACCGTATTCTTAGCCATAGACTTATCCTTTGCCTGAAGTTAGGCTTGAGCTTGAGCATAAGCATGAGCCTACGCTTGAGATTGATCATGAGCCTGAGCTTAAGCTTCACCTTGATCCTAAGCCTGAGCATGACTTTGTGCTTGATACTAACCCTAAGCCTCAGCCTGAGCCTGAGCCTAAGCCTGAGTCTGAACCTGAGCTTCAGCCTGAGCCTAAGCCTAAGCCTAAGCCCAAGCCTAAGCCTAAGCCTAAGCCTAAGCCTAAGCCTAAGCCTGAGTCTGAGCCTGAGCCTAAGTCTGAGCCTGAGCTTAAACCTGGGTCAGAGCCTGAGGTTGAGCCCGGGCTTGAGCTTAAACCTGAGCCTGAGTCTTAGCTAGGGTTGGACATTTACCGGTAAATGTAAATTTACCGGTAATTTTACCGGTAATTTACCGAAAATTTCGGTTTTTTACCGGTAAAAAAGTGTTTTGTGTCCTAGCACGAAAATTATTTTTGTTTCAAAATTTGTTTTTGTTTTGGAAAATTAGCAATATTTTGACGAAATATGTTGAAAAATACCACAGACCGTTACAAAAGAACAAATAATGACTACTTTTGCAATTATTGTGGTGCAAAATACGTCAGTAACCTTACAAGACTGTACCAACATCTTCTGCCAACAACTCACAAGGACGGAAAATTCGATTTTTAAACTTTCTTGTTGATTATTGATACTTTATGTACAGGTCTGTGATTTTTTAGCGTTACAATTGCACTAAGATATCTTCAAATGATCAAGAACAGGTCGTGCAATTATATGAGCAAAAATGCGGAAAACAAAAGATTGCATCGAACCAAGCAGAGTCTACTGGACAATGGTCATCCAATCATCTATGACTAGCTACGTCAACATAACATATACCGGTAGAAAAAAGAAGTGGACAGAGCTATTGGACTTATAAGTTGTTTTTTAAAGTAAAAGAGTGAAATACTTACTATTTTATTGTTTTTGTTGTTTTAAAACGCTTATTAAACGTTTTAATGACATTTTAAAGTTTTTAAATACCAAATAATAATCCGGTAAATTTACCGGTAAAAACCGGTAAAATTTTTACCGAAAAATCAATTTACCGGTAAATGTCCAACCCTAGTCTTAGCCTTAGCCTATTCTAATTTTTGTCCAGCCATAGTCCTGCTTTACCTTACAGTAGCCCTACCCAAGCCTTAATACTGCTAATGTTTTCCCACTTTACCCCACTTTACTCACTACTTTTAAACAAGGTTCAAAATGACTTAAAATTGACTTCGAACTACCCCTCCAAACATGATGATATAATAACAGGTATTAACACCTTAAAATCAGGCTTGTGCGCTTGGTTTTGGTTTTAAAGGCCCACAAATCAAATAAATATTAATTTTGATTATATATGCTAAATCCCACGTACACGTTTCAAAAAATTCGATAATGTTTTTGGAATAAATTAGGGTTGGGAAGGTACAAGGTAGAGCAGAAAATCATTCTTTTGGTTATTTTTAGCTTGAGGGTTGACTAGAATTGAAAGTTTTCTTAACAGTCTCGGCTAACAATGAGAATTTTATTATCAGTCTAACCTGCAGGTGAAATTTGGAGCCTAGTCTACACTAAAAATTGCAATATTTAGCTTTAGACTAGACTAAAAATCCATATTTAGTCATAGGCTAAGCTAAAAATGAATATTTAGATGCGCAAAAGTCTTGTCGCCAATTTACACTGCTTTGCAAGATAAAAAACGACAATACTTTTACATAATGACAATAAAACTGAAAACCATATTTTAGCAACAAATTGGATGAAAAATCAATTTTACGTACAGTATGGCAAACAAATTGAAAATCCCCTGATGATTCGTTATACACGAGCTCTACTGTAATTCCATTGAAATTATTTTCAAAAAGTTTAAAAAATTAAAAAACAAAATTGATTATCCAATACGTATAATGTGAGTATCTGCTTTTACTATGTGTTTTTATAGAGTAATCCCTATAACGCTCTTAGTGTGAACTCAGTAAACCTGTGAGATTTATTTACAAAAAAAAACAATTGGTTTTCTAAAAATATCAACGTGAGAGGTGAAGGGTTCAAATAGAGAAGAAATAGACTAAATTCTGCTTTAGAGTAACCTGTAAAGATGCCGGACCAAGCCCAATTTTTAATTTTTCTTCCTATACTTAAACTTGAGATTGAGCTTGCGCGTGAGCTTCAGCTTGACCTTGAGCTTAATCCTAAGCCTGAGCTAAGTCTGAGCCTGAACCCTCGCGCTTCCCTAGCTTTGTACTATCGATGCCTTAGCCCAACACAGCCTTCTTTCAACCCTACCCTCAGCTTTACCTTTGCAATATCTCTTGTTTTACCCTAGTCATACCCTAACATTACTTTAGTTCTACTATAGCCTTACCTTATCCAACCTAATAAAAATTAGATCTATTCAAACCTGCAAAAGGGCCAGGTCAGACTTTGGTTTGGGTCCCAGCCCTATACATGAGGAACGGGCCGGGCCCATTTTTCAGGCGCGGTCCTCAGGCTCACATGAACCAAGCCGGTTCCTTTCAAAATTGGTTTGACCCGGTCCTAGTGAGCCTCTTTCTCTCCAAGGTACACCTCCTTTCAGGTCTACTTTGGAAAGAAAGAGGTGTAAATGAAAAGGAGGGAGGGGAGAAAAAAGGATGACACAATTTTCAAAATAAAAAAAATTTTAAATTTTAAATTTTTGAAACATGTGATTATTCAAAAACAACCAAATTATGATTCATATTTCAAATCGGCCTTTCCCCTGCCCTCCCTGTTCGTCGTCTTGCCCCTCCTTTCCCATTTTTTTCCCCAATACCACCCCTTCCTGCTTCCATGCTGTCTTCTCACCCCTCCCTCCCTCTCTCCATCATACAAAAAACCTTGCAAAAAGAAGCCGAATGTCAATTTCAAAAACCAAAAATTCAAAATTCGAAAGCAAAAAACATGTCGAGATTGCCATAGCCACGGATTTGCATAATATCGTATATTCTAATTGTTTATACGAAAGTATTGGTATAATGACAAAAGGAGTTGACAATTTGTTCAAATGTGCCATTTTTAATGAGATATTACATTGAAAATGACATTTTTTGCTGCGTTTTGATATATAAAATGGCAATAAAAAGATATTTTTAAAGTTTTGTCGTTTTTTACTATTGAATGTAAAATGATGACAAGACTTTTTTAGGCTTTAAAAACGCAAAAAAATTATAAGCCTTTAAAAAACTTAAAAATCAGTTTTTTATTATTCTACCTTACCCTGCCTACACCATTCTACCATAAGTTAAAGTTAACAATAAATTAACAAAAAATATTTGAAACTACAAATAAAACATCAGAAAATTTAAAAAAAAAAATTATTACCTTACCCTAACCTACCCTAAATTACCCTGCCCTACCAAAAAGTAAAAAAAAAATTAATTTACAAAAATAAAAAAAAGCACTTAAAGCTGAAAATCAAACTTAAAAAAAAATAAAATAACATTTTTTTATTGTTCTACCTTACCCTACCATATGCCATTATACCATAAGCTGCCGGAAACAAATTTCAAAAAAATTTTAAAAATTTAAAAAATTGAGAAAAAAATGTATTTAAAGACAAATGCCCTTTAAAACTTAAATACCAATGTTTAATACCCTACCCTACGATACCTTAAATTATCCTACCCTACCTAAATCCCCAAAAATTTTTAAAAAATGTGAAAAATTGAAAAAATGTGTGACACAATTTAGTGCAAAAGTGTCAAAACGAAAAGACAATTAGTGATATCGCGTAAACCGTTTTCATAACAATTTTTCGTCGTTTTTTTAGAAATTCGGAATCCGACTTTCATTCCGAAAATCCCCAAAAACCGCTTTTGATAACGAAAAAAGTTGACAATGACATATAATATTGACTTCTAAAGGTCTTTAAACTTAATGAAACTTTAAAAATCTTTTTAAATTATCAAAATGGCAATAAAATATAATTTTAAAAAATTTTTGGTAATTACCCCACCCGAGCCCCAAGTATTGCATTACCTTACCCATTTCACCTTACCTTACCCTACAATATAAAAATTATAAAAGCCTTGCCATAAAAGCAGTAGTTCTTCTAAACCTCTCTTCTCTGCG